AATTACTGAATCTTACTTAATGTACGTGTCTAGGGATCTGGTCAGTAAATTACTGAATGTTACTGATTGTACATGTCTATTGGTCTGGTGAACAAATTACTGAATCTTACTTAATGTACATATCAAGAGGTTTGGTCAGTAAATTACTGAATGTTACTGATTGTACATGTCTATTGGTCTGGTCAACAAATTACTGAATCTTACTTAATGTACATATCAAGAGGTTTGGTCAGTAAATTACTGAATGTTACTGATTGTACATGTCTATTGGTCTTTTCAACGAATTACTGAATCTTACTTAATTTACATGTTAATTGGTCTGGTCAACAAATTACTGAATCTTACTTAATGTACGTGTCTAGTGGTCAGGTCAGTAAATTACTGAATGTCGTTGTATGTTTTGTCTAGTGGTCAGGTCAGTAAATTACTGAATGTCGTTGTATGTTTTGTCTAGTGGTCTGGTCAGTAAATTACTGAATGTCGTTGTATGTTTTGTCTAGTGGTCAGGTCAGTTACTGAATGTCGTTGTATGTTTTGTCTAGTGGTCAGGTCAGTTACTGAATGTCGTTGTATGTTTTGTCTAGTGGTCAGGTCAGTTACTGAATGTCGTTGTATGTTTTGTCTAGTGGTCAGGTCAGTAAATTACTGAATGTCGTTGTATGTTTTATCTAGTGGTCAGGTCAGTTACTGAATGTCGTTGTATGTTTTGTCTAGTGGTCAGGTCAGTAAATTACTGAATGTCGTTGTATGTTTTATCTAGTGGTCAGGTCAGTTACTGAATGTCGTTGCATGTTTTATCTAGTGGTCAGGTCAGTAAATTACTGAATGTCGTTGTATGTTTTGTCTAGTGGTCAGGTCAGTTACTGAATGTCGTTGTATGTTTTGTCTAGTGGTCAGGTCAGTTACTGAATGTCGTTCTATGTTTTGTCTAGTGGTCAGGTCAGTTACTGAATGTCGTTGTATGTTTTGTCTAGTGGTCAGGTCAGTTACTGAATGTCGTTGCATGTTTTATCTAGTGGTCAGGTCAGTAAATTACTGAATGTCGTTGTATGTTTTGTCTAGTGGTCAGGTCAGTTACTGAATGTCGTTGTATGTTTTGTCTAGTGGTCAGGTCAGTTACTGAATGTCGTTGTATGTTTTGTCTAGTGGTCAGGTCAGTTACTGAATGTCGTTGTATGTTTTGTCTAGTGGTCAGGTCAGTTACTGAATGTCGTTGCATGTTTTATCTAGTGGTCAGGTCAGTAAATTACTGAATGTCGTTGTATGTTTAGTCTAGTGGTCAGTAAATTACTGAATGTCGTTGTATGTTTTGTCTAGTGGTCTGTAACTGTACGCACGGCGGGCGACGCAGTAGGTCGATACATTACACACGCGACTTGGTGTTATTTATGAAAGCTACTGTCACATGGGTCACTGAATAATAAAAGCATAATAATGAGGGAAGCAGTAACCTATGTTGTTTATAATATTATTGACAATGCAAATTTTACAAAAAATTTAGAGAATTGTACTTTACGAAACGAGACCGAATTTTATTTATGTCCATTACACGTTTCATATATACTAAGTTGCTTAAATAAACGTTGAGAAGTTTAAAATATTCAATGTTTGCAAAATACCACGATTTAAAGTAAAATCGTATCTTTGTTGGCAAAGAAGGAGGAGTTATATGTAGGAATTCATTGGAATCCTGAAATAGGTAGAGAAACGGACGAAGTTTTCCGTTAAACTATAGCATAGTGTAAATGAAGCCCTGGGAAAACTTGATAAAACATTTAAAATGTAATTAAGAAATATACCAACTATTTTCTAGCTGCTTCCAGAAGAATGTCCATATGCGGTAAATGCACTAAAGTTACCTGAATACTTATGAATGTTAAGTTTAACCACATAGAAGGATGAGTAGGGATTATGCTATTAAGTAAAATTTTCCCAACTCCTTGATTTACAAACTTCTATTGGTTATTTGTTACTTTATAATAATCCTGTTACCTGTGGTATTATGGAAACCGAACTGAATGGAGAGGTTGAAGTAAGTTCTCCTACTTCTGTGTCTTAACTACACCACACTAAAATGAGTGCCAAATTGGGCATTTCCTTTAATAAAGCGATTGTCCAAGTTTTGGTTCCATGTCCTCTTCTGTGAATAAGTGGTAATACTGTTTTTTTATACTGTCAGATGAAGTACCATGGTATATGGCAAAACCTTTGTAATAACAAAATTATATCAAGATAGATTAGCAAATACACCACCGAATAGCATACGTCACCAAATCATAGATCTAACATATTCCCTTGTCAATATATTTACCTTCATAGATCAATTGAAGACAGTAGTTATAGGTTCAGTTTTAGTCCAATTTATGTAGAACTCAGGTTGTTTATGTTTTTATCTGGTACCTTAACCAATTAAAAAAATAATATGACACTATATTAGTTATCTATCTATATATTAATAGTACTTATTTAATACGCAAGCGGATTTTTTGTGACAAGTACTCCTCCGAAACTACTAAACCGATTGTCATGTTTTTGGTGTCATTGGAAAGAGCGTAACGTGAAGTTGTGCAGGAAACTTTCTTTTTAGGGAAATAATGAGAGAGTGAGGCCCTGGAGCCCTTTTAAGTTTCGTATTTTTCCATAAGATTAACATTGGAAACAAAAATTGTTATGAAACTCCAGCTGTTGTCAGAAATCAAAAGTGAGAAGAATAACATATCTATATATTAATTTGAAACTGTTTTTCTTTGTCACAGCTATTTTGAGAGAACGGCTGGGCGTAGAAACTCGGTAGAGGTGTCTAAAGAAAGGTCTTGGTCTGTAGATGAGCCATCAAAAGAGAAACATGGCGAATTCCCTTGGGGCTCTGCCCCAGTGGCCTTTGAATTCCCATCCCATGTTATTCTTATGGAGAAAAACGGGGTTTTTGTCACAGCTAATTTGAGAGAACGCCTGGGCGTAAAAACTTGGTAGGGGTCTCTAAAGAAAGGTCTTGGTCTGTAGATGAGCCATCAAAAGAGGAACGAGGTAAATTCCCTTGGGGCTCTGCCCCAGAAGCCTTTAAAGTTGCCTCTTCAGATTTGTTTACAATACGACCATATGCATAATTCTACACTACTTTTTAATGAAACAGCTGTTAATATTTAAATTGTGATTCATTTAATTTATCAAAATGAAATACAGTATTTGCAATGGGTTTTTCTGATTTTAAAATGGATTTTCTTCTGCATCGTGTCATGTTTTGCAATATAATGTTCTATTACCAAATCAGTGGAAAATCCTAAAATCTAACTTATATCTATTTTATGGGTTGGTTTCTGGTTTCAGCCTTTTTTACCACTTCTTGGAGATTGTACGTAGGTGATATTCGTTGGCATATTGCATCTGTAGAAAACTTGGGTAAGTGTAATTAGCCTATTAGAATGGAAAAGAGCGAGAAATCCTGGACAATTTGATATAGGCTAAAAATAAAACTGAATTAACACTGTTCTACATTTCATGAGCAATCATTGAAATAACCGATTTGCAAACAATGGAAACATAGAAAAAGTCATAGAACACAACCAAGTAGAAGAAATGGAAATAATGTTTTTTTTATATTTATAATCGTTATCATAGACAACCTAATGCGGCTATGAGAGGGAAAAATTTGTAGAAAACACTAAAAAAACAAGATCAGCTTTTTGAAAAAAGATAAGATGTTTACAAAAGATTTTGATTATATCTAACTGTTGTGTAGATTGTGAGTATTTCCATTTGAGTCGCCTGTAATGCTTCGCAATTGCTCGAATTCGAGCAACAGGTAGACTAGTAATGTTAATTGTAAACAGTCAATAAGTTTGTTAATTTAACAGTTTGATACAAATATTTGCTGACTTGGTTGATATTCGTTTTAAAATAACGCCTGCAATATTTAGCAATTGCTCGAATTCGAGCGACAGGGACACTAGTAGTGTAATAATTTTGACTTGTTGATGCTAGCTAACGATCGACATTTACTCCAAGAAAGACTGGTTCGATTCCCAGAATATTGACAAAGATATAACGGGGGTTAGACAGATTTTATTTCCCATTTAAACTTTAATCGATAAAGAAACATTTGGTCAATTTAAGTGCTCTCAAACGTAAAATTAAGCGTTAATCAAATAGGCTTCCGATTTTAAAATTTGGACAAGATTACTATTTCCACTTCTGTTAGTAAATTTATATAAGGAAAACATACTATACATAAGCTTCTGAATTTAAGGAATAATAGGAAACAGTAGAACTGCTTCAAGACGGTGTACCAGTAACTAGATTGAACCAAGCTACTTCTCCAGAAGTAGGTTTTCAAGTTTCTGTAAATGGATATCGTAAAGTTGTGCAACAAAGGTCACCACCAATCAGCTTCAGACCTGACGTTTTACTGCTTTGTGTCAAAACCACTTTCTTCATTTATTTACACCCCAAGTTAATAGTTTCCTGTAACGACCATCAATTTGTTCTTTTCGCAAAGCTGTCTAGTGTTAAAAATTGAACAGAAGAACAAACTAAACCTGAATAAAGTAATTAAATAAATGTAGCCTTATCATTTAATGCAATCATGAACGTTGGAAATATTTTAAATTGGCAGATGAATCATAGCTAAGAAACAAACCAACCACCCTTTCATAACGTGTATATATTTATTGTAACGCGGGTGTAAAAGAACAATACAAAATTCCTAACAGATATTATTGTAGTTACAAAAAAGCTTGTGCAAGCAGTATTGTTACAAACTGCTACGGCTATAGAGGATCGGCCACGGTGTGCTGAGGGCGGGGGCATCGGGGGCGGCGCCATGTTGTGCGTCAAAGACTTTACGTCATTTGCAGTTGTTATATTCATGTTGTTTTGTTACAGGCCGCTACAGAGGGACTGCCGCGGTGACCTGAGGGCGGGGGCATCGGGGGCGGCGCCATGTTGTGCGTCGAAGAATGTACGTCATTTACAGTTGTTGTATTCATGTTGTATTGTTACAGGCCGCTACAGAGGGACTGGCGCGGTGACCTGAGGGCGGGGGCATCGGGGGCGGCGCCATGTTGTGCGTCGAAGAATGTACGTCATTTACAGTTGTTGTATTCATGTTGTATTGTTACAGGCCGCTACAGAGGGACTGGCGCGGTGACCTGAGGGCGGGGGCATCGGGGGCGGCGCCATGTTGTGCGTCGAAGAATGTACGTCATTTTCCCTGCCGAAGATTTAGTGGAATTGACGTTGTCCCGACCACCGGTAGACCAGAGTCATCAGAACAGCCGCCGAGGTAAATTACAGTTTGATGTTTTTGTTACTGTATTAAATACTTTATTAAATACTTCAAAAATAGATAATTTGTCCCATTTTGGATAGTACAGTACACGCACATTTTCGAATCACCATAAGCCTTGCAATGGTTTGATGGAAAATAAGTTTAGTTATGTCATATTTCACAATGGCCAATCCTTGAAATTGAATGACCATAGTTTTGAGGATTACGATACCTTATAGTCAAATTTAACGTTTTCTTTGTTGAATACTTGTCATAGTCATTGTTAAAATAACCATGCACTCAGACATATCTACTAATCTACGAAATATCTAAAACACGTTTGGCCAGACGGATCAAAACTTATACTGTTAGCGGAAGAATGCCACTGCACAAATCCGATGAACGGACTGAATACTTAAGTTAACTGAAGTATAAGGATTAGCGACAGTAAAAGGCAATATTAAATATTTATTTCGAATAGAATTTCTATTCAGGAGGCAAATAACATGAATATTTAAATGTTTAATTTCCTTTTAAAACTATTCAAAGGTGCAATGCTATATCTTGCCGATATAAGTGTCTTGAAAACTAAACTGAATATATCGAGAGCGAAGTTTGTTAAATAAATATAAAAAGTAATCTGCAAAAGAGTCTTCGTGTCAACAAGCATAACTGATCAACAACTGATTGTTGTGTTAAGTAAATTTCATTTTAGAAGCCAACGGAAAGTAGTGTTTCCTCGAATGGATTGACCTAATTCCACGAAATCCGTTAACTTTACAAAATAATTACAAGAGTTTAAAAGTTAGTAAATTTTATGTAGTTTTCAATGATACCTTATTTGTTAAGAATAATACTATTATGAAGAATGATGTTATTATTTTTCAATAATAACAGAGAATTGTGTTCTTTTCGTAATGCATGTCCACTTTTCTCCATTTTAACAATGCTAATATTACTATTACATTGTATAAATATATCTAAAATCATCTGTTATACGTCAATCAGGTGTTTAAAAAAATAACAGATGATTGAATAATTTGATTTTATTATTTTTAAAAGTATTGTTGTCATAGAATTAGATCCCTTTATAGGATGCACAGGAAGAACTTTCAAACAATCAGTACATACTAATACTATATTTGGTTGGCCAGACAGGAGAGGTAATGAATTAATTGTTCGTTCCGTTAATACGAAATGCGGCAAGAGAATCTTACGGTTGACTGAGTTTTTTTTTCAAACAGTCCACAAACACTTTAAAACACTCAAGTTTTTTTTGGATAGACGGATATGACGTGACATACAGTTAATTTAATGGAAGAACATTTTGAATGCAAAATGCATTAACCGTTCATCCAGGATGGTGTACATCCATTTCCATAATTACTGAAGGTTAATGCATTCATTAACATACCTATAAAAATTTGAACTTTTGAATCTTGAACCCAAACCATTACAATAATCCTTTGTAACACATTTACTTCAATAATTTTTTTACCAACTTTTTATTTGTTGACCTACAAACTATTAACTGCAAAACTACGAAACGAGATGAACGCGCCAAACATCCGTGAAGACCAAGGCTGTAACTTGTATTGGTCAAGTTTCATAAGAAAAACTTTCGTATGTGAGGAGAATGTGTAAACTTTGTATCCACCTTAACCTATGAGGTTGCATCATATTGGCTTGAGAGTCGAGTAGAAGGGAATTTGTTACCTACACAGGGTTGATACCTAGAAAACAATATTAATGACATTTTATAAATCTTAACATTTTACTTAAATCAAGAGATAATGTTTAACATTCATGGTTTAAAACTTATTGAAAAGTATTCTTGTAAATGCAAAGTTATGGCAAAAGTCTTTTTAGAAGTAAATACCCCCGCCGCAGCAAACCTGCCGACTAAGCGAATTTCCATTTGTCTGAATTGATTTCCAGTTAAATATATTTTAATAACTTAGGTTTAACGAGTACCTAGGTTTGCTGCTACAAGGAAACTAATAAAGTGTGTTTTGAGTAAAATATTGATAGCTTAGTACAAAATAAATAAATTTGCCAAGTTTGATCAAAATATATTCATAAACAAGCAAACTACAACATTTGACAATATTCTCCATAAGAATAACATGGGAATTTTAAATTTACAATTTTTTTAATTTTCTCCGTTACTAATAATCGAACAAAAATACTTTTATATACTAAATTATTTGTTTTTTAAGCTCTTTAAAAAGGTCTAAAGAGAAATTGGGAAATTTTGTGTTTTGAGGGTCAAAAGTGAGAAAAACCAATTTTTACCCCATAAAACCCCCCGTAAAGCCCCGTTCCCATGGTCCGATCGTGCTGGTTCGCGAACTCATTCAAGTTTATCCCGCTTTACACCTTTAAACCAAATTTCATCAAAATCGGACAAAAATTACTCAAGTTATCGCGTTCACGGACGTATATATATATATGTAAGTCTATATATATATATACATATATAAAAATTTGAACGAATAGTGTTTTTGGCCTCTGGGGACATCAAAATGAAAAAGTAAATCGGTCCCGGGTCTAGGTCTTACCGTGCCACCTATGGTAATAGCTACTTCCCTATAGGGAAATTCGCTAAAATTGAAGTTCCTTGTATCATGTGCACATGAAGTATACATCTTTAAAATTATCAGTAAAGTTTCGGCTGCCAAATTAAATACGTTCTGAAATAAAAACAATTTTGTAACATACAGTTTCAATATGATCTAAAAATGCATGCTCTGTTAAAATTACGTTCGTGAAACAAATCTCTCATTAAAACCATACTAAATATCTGTTTCGTGTGCCATTGGTAATTAAAACCCTGTACGGTATTTCAATTAACGTGTCTTAAATCAATTTAGGTCGTACGGTCATATTACATAATTAATTTGAAAGCCAATATGCCCAGTATAGTTAGAAGAATGATTACATTGATAGCTTGGTTAGAATTAAGTTTCATGTGCATATTGTGGCATAATTAAAACTACCTATACCATGAAACAAAGGCACAACTGTAACTTGATAAATAATCGATTGGAAAATGTAACACAAAATTATTCCAAATAGAACGGCATAACAGAGGGTGATCATTGAGAATATACTGTTATTGACATTTCATTCGATTAATTGCTAAATGACGGTTTCATTCAACCATTAAAAGTTTAAGTAAAAACATTCTAAATATCCTATGCTAATATTAATCATTAAGCAAACTAACAAAATTCTATTAATTGAGTTCAATCTCACACACGTTTAGGCCTAAACATGTTAAATCGCCCCAACCTGATTACCCTACTTAAATAACTCGCTTTAGTTTGAAAATTTGAGGGTTTTCGGTAACATTATTTATCTTTTCAAACAACTAAAAGAATTACGAGGGAAACCACAGAAAGCAAACTTCAGCGTTTGCGAAGGAGGCTGTCGTCAGTTGCCTTAGGCGACGTAGGGGTTGAGGGGTTGTTAACTCTTTGTCAAGTCTGGGTGAAACTGGGTAAAGGATGGCATTCTTTAGCTTTGCTTTGGTAAATATACCCGGAAATATATGTCAAACATATAAAAACTAACGTTTGTAATAATAGTAAAATTATTACTGCATTTTCACAGAAGAGGAACTAATCTGGGGAAAACAAAAAAAACTTTCATATACAAAGTAAAGATTTTTATCGCAAATGTAAAAAAAGTATTTTTATGTATTTAAAATATAACTTAAATTTCCTTCCTAAAAGTAAATCGCTAAACCTAAAAATACAAGAATACAATTGAAATTTCCTCCTAACAATGATATTTGAATATTTATTGTCATCTATTTCTAAAAAGTAATAGTTTCAGTTTACGTGTATTCAATAGAACAATTTAAATTTTTTGGGTTTAATTCAATTTTTTACTGCAAAATTTTATGTAGCATTTGCCAACAAAGAGTAAACTATCATATTTTTTCACCATTATTTTTTTGTTTCTAAATTTTTACTGTATATATATGGTACGTGGTCTGTTAAATTTATCCTTAGATCAGTCATGTTTTCATTAATGTACATTGATTAAAGATTTTAATGTGGTCTTATAGATTACTTCTTACGTCATAAGAAAACTCCAACCAAGTATAGTCGATAGACACGAATTCTTGGTAAAATGACGTAATACTAAGGTTCTTTAGAGACTTTTCAAACACTTTGTAGAAGCCGTTATATCAGCATCTTTGTTATGCTGTAGGGATTGACCTGAGAAGGTGCCATAGCACCGAATCCAATAGTGCCGAATCATGTTTTTAGTCAAAATTTGCCAAATTTCACGTTCGACGCTGTTGCATTTTAAATTCCAATAGCGCCGAAAGAGATGTTTGTGTAACAGAGCCGAAAGATGTATTTTAAAATCCAATACCACCGAACGAAAACTAAAAATGAGTAAGAGTACCGAATTTAGAATCATTCCATTAGCTCCGAAATCAAAATAAATCCAACAGTGCCGAATCCCAACGCTTTAAATTGTTTCGGCTCTATTGGACGTTTGAATCTTTCTTTCGGCGCTGTTGCACGATTTTGCCAACAAAATCCTTGACAGCCGAACAATAGAACCCCCACCAATCTTCTCCCACAACTCAATCCGACTGGTTTTTGGTTGGCTGATCTACACCCAATGAAGTTTCAAGAATGCATACGCGGCCATCGTTGCCACCTCCACCACTGCCCAGGGGTGACGCCCAGTAGAATCGTCCCGGACACTGCTGCCCCTAGCGGAGTTCTCTGGATCTAGGCTAGGCATACGTGCTATACTAGAGTGGCAATCCCTATCCTTTAAACAGTAGGGGACACATGTGCTGAAGCCACCTTCTGTGTTAAGCAGAGGTGCAATTGACAGCTCCACTGCCCGCGGCGACCACAATATTTTTAATTCGCCGTGATTCATTAACACCGTCAAAACGACCACTTAAAGTGGAGATAAAATTCTGAAATTTTGAGGTATTAAATAAAAATATATCACCTTAGTAATATTGTTTTCGAATTATG